TTGCTCCGTTGGGTGGACGTGGATTTATTTAGGGTCAAACAGGCACAAACCCAAACGTCATACATTATACATATGAAATGATACATGCCAACGCCGTGGGAAGAATGAGATTCTGATGGAATTAACAATTCATTCTCTGATACATGCCAATGCCGTGAGAAGAATGAGATTCTGATGGAATTAACAAATCATTCTCAAAACAAGTTTGTTCTCTCTCTCTCTCTCTCTCTCTCTCTCTCACATGTCCCTGCCCTGTCCCTGTGCAAAACAGAGCAAGATAATCAACCTTTTGCAAGCGTATTTACTAAAATACCACAAATAACGTAGAATCTGTTGCATACTATATATGTACAAGTTCAACGTCCTAGAGAGAGGTCATGGCCGAAGAGGGCGTTGGGTTCTGACCATGTTGCCAAAATTTCCACGTGCCTCTTGAAAACTTCCAAATCTATAAAGGAAATTCAATACTGCAATAATAATCACCAATAATAACAACAAAAAAATATGCAATCATAGGAGAGGCCAAAATTTTTACGTCTCCTTCTTAATCCGCACATACCATTGTCACAAAGGAGATGAATATATATGAGTGAGAAGAGGTTGATTACAGTCTGAGTGTTGAAAAGTAAATTGCTCTCTAATTTCTCATTAGTGAACAGTTTACTTAGCTTAGTTAATTTCTATTATTTTAACTGAGTGAGTGTTATGTAAGCTTGAGCTCATATGCCAAGTGTAAGGTCTTAGATCAGTCAATTATTTGCCAACGGCTCACATGCCCTGTACTGCCATGTGTCATAATCACATTGGCTCTTGTATTTGAATGGTGATGATTTCTGATGTAAGAGTATGAATGAAAAGGTCAGCTGTGCAACGGTGAGAAGTTGCAGAGCAGATTTTGTTTCCATTTCTGAGCTGAACCTTTTCTCTCTCGTTTTTCTTACTTTCATTTTCTTCACTGCTCCCTTGGCAATCCAAATCTTAACACTGAGATGGTAGATAGTAGATAGATAGAGAGAGAATGGACAAGAGTTTGTTAATAGAAGAGGGAGAGGACAGAGGAGGTGTTGAAAGATGCGGTTTGTTTGTTGCAGAAGTGAAGAGGTTGGGATACATAGCAGGGCCTATGGTGGCTGTGAATTTGTCTCAGTACTTTTTGCAAATCATTTCGATCATGATGGTGGGTCATCTGGGTCAGCTCTCTCTTTCCAGCACTGCGATTGCCATCTCTTTCTGTGCTGTCTCCGGCTTCAGTCTTCTTGTAAGTGCTTTCCGTGTTTCTGTATTGTTTGTATTTTGTAATAAATTTTATTAACCGAGGTTTATGATAAATAATATATAGATAAATCTGGTTTAAAATCCCAACCCCTCGTGTTAATGTTTGCTTTTTTCATTTTCCTTTTTGTTTGTGTTAGTTGTTACTACTTGTTCTTACCATAAGAGAGAACAGGCAATGTAGGATTAAGAGGAGTGAACCAAATGTTGTAACTATTGAAAAGGATAAATTTCATCATTTGGAGTTTTGCCTTCAAGCAGAAAAGGATCAAATTGGGTACCAGTCCTGAACAACTTAATGGGTTTTCTAATTTGTACATGTCAACAGTTTGGAATGGCTTGTGCACTGGAAACTCTGTCAGGGCAAGCTTATGGAGCTCAGCAATATAAACAACTAGGACTTCAAATCAACACTGCTATTTTTTCTCTACTCCTAGTTTGTCTCCCTGTGTCTCTCGTGTGGATCTACATGGGAGAAATACTAATTTTCATGGGCCAAGACCCTCTAATTTCACTTGAAGCTGGTAAGTTTGCAAGGATGCTCTTACCTGCACTCTTTGCTTATGCAACTCTTCAGCCACTTTGTAAATATCTTCAGACACAAAGCTTGATAATTCCCTTGCTCGTATGCGGTTGTGCTTCTCTGTGCTTCCACATACCTTTTTGTTGGGCTATGGTATTTAAGTCTGGACTAGGACACCTTGGAGCAGCATTAGCCATTGGTATGTCTTATTGGTTAAATGTGATTCTACTCATACTATATGTGACGTACTCCACTGCCTGTGCACGTACCCGGGTTCCAATTTCTTTGGAGCTGTTTCAAGGAATTAGAGAATTCTTGCGTTTTGCAATTCCTTCTGCCGTAATGATTTGGTAACCTTCTTCTTGCCAGCTTTTAAAATCTTCTAGTTTTCTTTTCTAGTAGTAGTACTAATAATGTGATTTCCCATCTGATGTGATGCTTATAGCCTTGAATGGTGGTCATTTGAGCTCCTTATCTTGCTGGCTGGTTTTCTACCAAATCCGGAGCTTGAAACTTCAGTTTTATCTATATGGTATGCTGCAATTTTAAGTGACCTCCAAGACAACTAGCGAGTTATATTCTTCAAATCAATAAAATCTTTTACTTTTCTGAACAGCTTGTCAACCATCTCATCACTGTATACAATACCAGAAGGACTTGGTGCAGCAGGAAGGTTTGTTTCAAGGCACATATGAATATAACATAAAACTGATTTCTTATATGACGAATCTTCTTAGGTTTGTGTACTAATGATTTGTTTTCTTATTGGGTTTTAGCACTAGGGTTTCAAATGAATTAGGTGCTGGAAATCCCCAAGCAGCTCGATTAGCTGTTGGTGCTGTTATGTTTCTTACAGTCTCAGGGGTAGTTATTATAAGCTCAATCGTTTTCGCCAGCCGATCTGTTTTTGGTTACATTTTCAGCAAGGACAAGGAAGTTGTGGATTATGTCACTTCCATGGCTCCTCTGATTTGTCTATCAGTTATATCCGACAACTTACACGGGGTTCTTTCTGGTTATGATTCTATTCCTTCCACGCTTCTGTTAATGCATCTTCAATGCAGTAATTCTGTGAAACTCAAAGCCTTTTGTTTTATATATAATTCAAAACAGGTATTGCTAGGGGATGTGGATGGCAGGACTTGGGAGTGTATGTCAACCTCGGAGCATATTATCTAGTTGGGATTCCGGTTGCTGCCACATTGTGTTTCTGGTTAGACTTGAGAGGAAGGGGGCTTTGGATTGGGATACAAGTCGGTTCTTTTCTGCAAGCATTTCTTTACTCTGTGATAACAACTTGTACAAATTGGGAAGACAAGGTAAACTCTCCGTCTTTTAATCTTTCAAGATGAAAATTTGAATCTGTGTTGCTCAGTTGTGGAGAAGCTAAAAGAGAGAGGAACTTAAAAAGACAGTATTGATATCGAATATTTCAGTTCAGAATTCACAAGCCTGTTAGTCAATCATTTCTTTAGCGGCTAACCAGAAATGCTGTCTTTAGAAAGAGTCATTCCTTTAACAGCATGAACTGTGAAACCTCTTTGAGATTAGGCAGCAATTTATGTCATACTTTTTCTAATGAGACTTCTCTTTCTCTTGGGTGTCTTGATGTTGCAGGCAAGAAAGACAAGGGAGAGGATATTTGTGGAAAAATCTACAGTAAGATAGCAGCCGTTCCATTCTTTTTGAAGCAAGGTTCTCTGGTGCAATGCAATCATACAGATGGATAATTTGAAATGATGCTTTAGGTGATTTTTATAGGCTTATTATACCTCTAGGGTTTGTGCCTATCAAAATCAGAGAAGCATGCAAAATGTTACCAGTTTACACGTAGGTATGATTGAAGCATGAAATATATTTTCTTGGCACCTCTATAGACATTTACCAACTCTGGAACTTTTATTTTTGATGATTTGATGACACTATGAAGAATGCTTCAAACATGGGATTTCTGGATGAGTAAAAACATCTCAAGGACTTCGGAATAAATTTCAACATCAATCAAATGACCAAGTTTTGCAGGGTAAAAACCTCTCAAGGGATAACTCGCATTGGCATGTCAATGACTTTTGATACCTTACAAATCCTCTGAGTTTGAATCACAAAATTACCTATCTGGCAAACAACTTCCATTTGCTACTGTGAAGTGTCAATCATGTTGAAATCTTACATGTTAAAAATTGATTATGATATGTAAATATGGATTAGGCTAGTTGACTAGGGTAGTGTATTTGCTTCCTTACCCCTAAATTCAATCTCATTATTGATGGATAAGGTTGGCATGTTTACTAAACCGTAATCGGATTTTGAGGAATTGAATTGAGGAGTTGGATTGAGGGGAATTAGATTCCAGATTCCTATTGAAGTTGTTTACTAAACCATAAGGAATTGGGGTAAGAGTGGTATTAATTATTAAAGTGTCCTCATTGTTGGGTTAAAGTAGATGACAAATTTGGAGTTCTAAAAATTGTGTGAGGATATAATAAATAAAAAAGATGAATTCCTAATGAGTTAGTTTTTCAAGAATTAGAATACCACCTCATACTTAAGAATTGAATTCCTCCAAAATCAGGAATTCAATTCCTAATTTTGTGTGAGCCCCACTTACTTTTTAATTCATTGATATGAAGTAAACATAGAAATCCTCCATAATTAGAATTCAATTCCTGATTCGAATTCCAATTCACTCCCTATGGGTCCATTTGGATGAGGGAAAATAACTCGGAAATTTAAAAGGAGAAATTGACAATTCCTTTGTTTTGCAACTTAAGCACGGAATTTATTAAATAACATGTGAAAAAAATTATGGAAATTTGGACATCAAATTCCCGAGTTTAATTCCCATCAAAATAGGCGTCATTTACAAAATTTAACATACATATATCCAAACACTGAAATTTTCAATTGCCAAAAATTGAAATGATGAAAATTGAAATTCTATCATTTTAGAATTCTATGTAATTTTCAATTCCTTCATCCAAACGGGGGGTTAGAATAATTTAGACTGTCGTCTTGTCCGAAAAAGAAAAAGAAGAGAGAGAAAAACATGGTGTATCAAGCGGCCCATTTACCAGTAACGGGCCAGAGGTCATTTAGCCCAGATAAATGGTGACGTCATCTGCATTAGTGAACGGAAACGGGCCGCGGGCCGTTATTCGGGTTCCGGTTTGTTTTGTTGTTGATAAGTTAGCAAAACAAAAAAGAAATAAAAAATCGATGGCACTTGGCGCCGGCGAGTGACAAAGATTTTCCCCTTTACAAAACCTCAAACCCAAAAAGCCCTCAAAAACCTTTGAGAAGTGAGAACTCGCCGTTCAGCTCTGCAATTCATTCCTTCGAACACAGAGAGATGGGAAGAGCCGAGAGAGAGCAATTGAATCGAACTCTGAACCAGCACCTGAACACCATCCACGAGACCTTTCAGGTTTAAGCTCTCTCTCTTTACAAGTCCCTGGAATTATTTTTTGTATTTTGTTTGAAAATATAGTCTTTTGCTTTTAGATTTGGTGATGGTGATGATGATGATGTGGGTTTTGTTTGTTTAAATCAATGAAAACAGTTGTTAGATCAAACTTCACCTTCTACAGTTGAGAAGGTGAGCTGGGAGAAGGTTATGCAGATGGGTGACCAAGTCTCCAAACAAGCTACCATTGGTATTTCTTTATCTTTTTTTGCCATCTTACCCTATCAATCTTCAATTTTGATTTTGTACTGATATTAATTTTCTGTGGTCATTACGTATTATCTTAGTATGTTAATTTGGAATCTTGAGCTTGGAATGGCTAAATCTAGGAAAATTATTGAAGGAATTTTGATTTGAGCTTTTTGACTTATCTGGTTGTAGTGATAAACACAATCAGTGGCAAACTTCTGGACTTTGGAAATACGTGTCTTCAACTTAACAATTTTTCCATATTAATAAAAGAAAATGATAAAAGTGGAGCAATGCAACTATCTAGTGGCTTGTTGGAGATCCGATTTTTATGGTTTTTGTCTATCTATGCTTCAATTTGCGATTTAGTTGCATAGTTCCTTCTCCCGTGTGGCATAGTGCCTCATGCTCAAGTGACTAACTGCGACTTCATAATGCAGCTGGAATGCTTTGGAGCGGAGAAACACCAGAAGTTAGAGCCCTTGAAGAAAACATGGCTTCATACTTTAATATTCTACAAGGTTTTCTTCTGCTTTCTCATGGGAGTATAGTGGGTGCAGGGCCTACCTTGTATTCTTGTGTCCATGCGTCTGTAAAGCACGTTGTTGACTCCAGTTTTAAGTTGTTGAAGGAATCTGTCTCGTTGTATGGTAATCTCTCTCTCTCTCTCTCTCTCTCTCTCGCTGGTTGAAGACTGAAGCAATTTGATTTGTATTCACCACCAGACATATTTCTGCAGCATTTCTTTTTCTTGATCACTTCATATCTCTATTTTCTTTTTCACCTGCACTCATGTACACGAACCTGAGGTCCTAGAGTTTGGTTTTGTGAATGAGACCGAAACTGGTAACTTTTAGGGTCTTAAGCTCTACCCGACCAGATGTTATAGTAGTTGGTAGTGTAGTTGTCTTCACTAAAATATTTAACAAATATGGAAACCTTGTCTTCTCGTTTTATCTTCACTTTGAATATACACCTGCAGGTGCACGGAATAAAGATGGGAAACTCTCAATGCCACAGTTGGCTGGTGCAGTATGGGAAGCGTGTTCTGCTCTTAAAAAGACACCTGCCACCAATGTCACAGCAATTGGACGAGCAATGACGCAGGTTGCAGTTTCCATGAAAGATGTTCTTCGTGAGATGAAGGAGCTTAAACCAGGTTCCTCTGACCTGACAGATGAAGCCTCTAATGAGTCTTCTATTGAAGCAGAGATTGAACCCCAGGATGATGAAATTTCAAGTGACGGTGATCTGGGCAATGATTTGTCACCTGAAGAGATGAGAGTTGCTCAGTTGGCAATTGCAGTTGTGTCTGAGACTCTTGTAGTGATAAAGGAACTAATTCGCGCGATCACAAGTTTGCTTAAACGTGAAAATCCAAATGACAGCAGTAATCTTGTGGATTCCTTGGAGAAATTGTTGAGAATGTGTCAAGGAATCGGAATACAAATAGACGAGCTTGGAGCTTCTCTTTATCCCCCTCAAGAGGTTCCCACCATGAAGGCAGCATTAGGGAAAATCTCCAGCTTTGTCGATGATATGCAAGCTGAATTACAGAATCTTAAAGGAAATTTGGAAGCATTTTGTCAGGCGTGCAATTGTTTAAAGAGTTCTTTGCGACAGCTTGAATCTGCAGTAGGCTGTCCCAGTACTGTCGATTTAGAAACCAGAGTGCAGAAAATTGATTTGAACAATTAGTAGAGTGAGAGAGTGAAATTCATTTTGCAGAGCTGTAAGTCAGAATGATTTCTTGTCAGTATAATAGTATTTTATTTTATAGAATTTTAAATTTTAAATCAACCTACTTGTGAACTGAATAAAGGTTGTTTCTGTTATACGCTTGCAGTATAAACCTCTTGTACAGTAATATGGGGTTATTCACCCTCGTTCCATACGACAACACATTTATGTTACATCATGTTGCAAATGTACAAGATCCTTGCAAACTTGAGTATGCGCCATACTGCGAACAAATTTCATGCATCGAGGAAGCTGGGTTCATCGGCCAGTAAGCTTAACAACCCAGGCACCCCCAAAGTAAAGACCAAGGAGGGGTGCTGCTAGAAGAACCTGAGTGAGTGGATCCGTTGACGGTGTAACCACAGCAGCTGCCACAACAGCACCAACCACAACATACCTCCAAACTGACAGCATTTGATCTCCTGATACTAGACCAACTTGTCCCAGGAGAAATTGTATAACCGGAACCTGTAGAACAAGATGAAAGGTCATTTGTTAACAAAGTTTTCTGAGATATCCACGTCGACCTATGCACAGTTTTCTGAGAGAGGCACGTTTCTGGCTGAATGATAAATTGCTCACAAATATAAGTGCTGATTAGAATGAAGTAATGCCATCCCTAAAGACAGAATGAACTTAAAGAGGAGAGAGTCATAGACTCATTACCTGGAAAGACAAGCCTGTGCTGAACATGAGCACAAGTACAAACTCAAAGTATTGATCAATTGACCACAACGATTCCACAACACCTTCCGCATATGTAACAAAAAAATTCAAGGCTGCTGGTGTCAAAACAAAATAGGAGAAGCTGATACCAGCGTAGAAAAGTACTGATGAGCCCAAAACAATTGGCCCCAGAAATTTTCGCTCTTCTCTCGTTAATCCTGGAAGAACAAAGGCTATAAGCTCATACAGAATGATGGGGCTCCCCAAGAGAAGGCCACAATATCCTGATACCTGCAGTGGACAATCAAAAGAATTGTTTTGCTAATTGATTTACTCCCGAAATAATAAAATGAAAACAGGGGAAACAAAAGAGGAGCAAAACAGATAATGTTATTCTCATTTCCCATTGAGATTATGAGGGGAAGTATAAATCATAAAGTTCCTACAACACTCCATTGCACTTCAGCGCTAGCTAGCCAGACAAATTTGCACCCAACCAACAGTGGCTAACTTTCCAAAAACAAAACCTTACATGCGGCAATCATGTTAAATATATCATGGACAGGAGAGATATTCACTCAATCTAACCTTTATGGTAGTAAAGAAAAACTCGCCAGGAGCTAGCTGCAGGAATTTTACACCTTGGTCTTTAACAGGAGCTTCGAGAAATATTATAAGTTCCTTTGAATATGCAAAGCATCCCAACATAGAAACTCCAACTGCTAGAACTGATATAAAAATTCTCTGACGCAGCTCTTCCAGATGATCAAATATACTCATCTCTTTATCGTCCGGGAGGAGCTCTTGACTAGGATATAGAAAATTGTAAATAGCACTTCCATTCTCTTCTTTTGAGCCATCAACCACATCTATATTGTACAGAAAAAGGTGATGTCAACTTCAAACTAAAGACATTAACATCTACTTCCTGTACAAACAAATTGTTTTAGAAAATGGGCCAAATTATACTATGACAAGCTATGAGAAAATTTCTTCGCTGTACTCAATTTATTCGACAATATCACCACTCAAACTTCACTATAGTAGTTACAAAAGCACTCTCTTCCACTCAATTTCCAATTACTTCTTGAATCATGAAACAACCAATTATGCTAATTAACTGGTATTACAAAGCTCCTGAGCCTGATTTAAGGCATGTTTTGCTACTAAATATACTCAAATCCTGAGAGTAGAAAAAAAAAACCCTATAAAAAGCACTAAATTATTCTTAAATAGTAAGAAAATCCATGTTAAGTTTTTACCTTTTTTCATATATATTGGGTTCTCAAAGTAGCAAGTTAGTGACCATGTTTTTCTGATTTCTTTATATAATTTGTTGAATATAAAGCAACTAAACCATAATTTTTAGTGAAAATTTAAGAAATTTTGGTTGTTACCAGTAGCAGGCCTATCCTCGACGGCGGAGCCAATCCCAGACCCAGAGCCAAACTCTTGCTGCTTCTCTCTCAAATCGTCATCAACAGCGAAGCAGACTACGTCGTTTCGTAAGCTCTTCCGGCTCCGCAAACCATTGAGCTCCAGTCTTGGCCTCCTCGAATGGTGGACTCGAACAGAATCCAGCTGGTTTCTGACTGGCCCAAGCCGCTGGAAGCAATTGTGGCTGCGACTCCGAATGAAGTTCAAGTTGGAAATGGAAGCACAGCTCGTGCTTCCCATCTCTCCTAGAATACCACTCCAATCCAAGTTCGCTTCTTCTTCTTCTTCTTCTATGTCTTGTTTGTATTAGCTTTCGTTTTATATCAACATCTCAACAACGAATGAATATGAATGACTGGTGCTTCTTTCTTCAGCTCGGCGGACGATATTTTTGGATTTGCAGCCCATGGCGCATTGTAGTAGGATCTTAACTAGTTTTCTATTATGAGCCGATGACGTAGTGTACGAAGTAGAATGGGCTATATAATGGTCCTATGGTTCACTTGGGCCTCCGGCCTTTTGTTTGAGCCTTCGGCCTTTGGTACTACATATGTCGGCAACGCTTTTCCTTCCCGCCCTTTCTCCCATCTCATTTCTTCTCACTCTTGAGTTTGCTTTGAGAAATGGCGCGAGAAAATCCTGCAGAGAAAGCCCTAGGTCTGCTCCGAAGCAGACTCTGTGACCCTAATTTCGCCTTCAAAGCTCTCTCTCACGCCGACGACTCAAACTATAGGTCTCCGATCCCTCTCTTTCTTTCGAAGCATACTCTCTCTGTGACCCTAATTTCATCTTCTTCTAGTATTTTTTTTTTTAATAGAAGAATTAAGATTAAGGGCTTTTATTTTTATTTTTATTATTTTTGCAGCAAGTTGAAATTCTTAGTTTCAAGTTCCATCACCGAAGCATGTAACAACTCCATTCTGCTTCTCGGTCCCCGTGGTTCGGGAAAAATCGCTGTATGCCCAAATTTTCAACTGCGGCTTTTCTTTTTCAATTTCTATTATAATCGCAATATTCTGTTGATCTTTTTATTTTATTTTATCGACTTCTAGGTGTTGGAGCTTGTGCTCAGTGATTTATTACAAGAATATCCTGATATGATTTCAGTGGTATGCTTATATATTTCACTTTTCTACTCTCTATAATATCTTTGAATTTTTCAGTTCTTTTCTGTTTAATTTACATGTAATTTGATTTTCTATGTACATTGTTCTACAGATTAGGTTGAGTGGCCTGTTGCATAGCAGTGACAACTGCGCATTTAAGGTTGATGATCTAGCCTTCTTTTCCAAATAAATAATGTTCTGGGTGTGGCGGTTTTATATTAGTGATCGTACTATAAATGGTGATTTTAAACTGTGAAATCATTCAGGATATTCTAGACAGTAATGTTATTTTCTTCTTTGTTTAAGATGGTTGTTGGTTATTCAGGAAATTGCTAGACAGCTATGCATGGAGCATCAGTTGGTTTTCTCAAGAATGGTAACGTGCATAATTTTTTCGGAAACCACTTTTGAAGGATTTTACTTCCAACAATTTATGGTTTCTTAATTTTGTGTTGACTTTTGTAGGCATCATTTGATGATAACTCCCAGTTTATGATAGCCATGTTAAGGTGTGTAAATATTTCTTGATGTGATTCTTGTCAAATGGTTTAGAAGTTCTGACAGATTTGTTTCTCTGATAATTAGGGAGTGTGGATTAGCACATAAAACAATTATTTTTGTTTTGGATGAGTTTGACTTGTTTGCTCTGGTAAGACCTCATCATCCTGTGCCCACTTGTTTTTTCATTGCTGAAGCCTTGCAGTTTGACATTCATTTTTGTATTTTTGGCCGCTTCATTTGATTAAAAGTGACAGTGGGCGATGTAAAATCTTTCCTTTACAGGGCTAGTTTCTCAGAACTTTTATGCCTAGAAGTGCATCATCATGGTTGAAACTACTGAAGATTTGTGAAAAGCTATTAATGAACAAGTTTTGAAGATTCTGGTAGTCTTGTTGAGAACATTGTGTAGTTAACAGTAAGAAAAGCCTGGCACTGCAGAAACAGCATTACGTACAGATGGAAATTTTAGATAACTTGTAAATCTCATTTGGGGTTGGAAAGTTACACTAGAAATTGCAGGTTAATACGTGTCTAACTTACAAGCTAAACATATACATCTAAGGCGTGATAAGTGTATGACTTAATGAGGATCTACTGGGACACCTACCAAAATATGTTATGATTCTGGCCTGATGTAAATTTTGACCCACTTTGCATCAATGCATACATTCATGATGTACAAATGCATTTTTAAGTCTAGACCATGCAAAAGAATTGAATTCTGGCTGTCATTATAGAATAAAAAGTAAAACACACTGACTGTGATGTTGTTCTTCATTTATGGTTCTTTATAGGGAAAACAGAAGTTACTTTATAGTTTGCTTGATGCAATGCAGTCAGTAACATCTCAAGCTGTCGTCATTGGTGTGAGCTGCCGACTGGTATGTTGCTTTTTAATTTCTGTGATCTTTAGCTATGAATGATAAAATTCTAAATGAGATGTGGAATGGTAGCCTTAGTCTGATTAATTGTTAATAAACTCGGACTCAGACCAACTAGTGATGAAAATGCTAATGTCCGTAGGAATTGGACTTTGTCATGCAGGATGCTGATATGCTTTTGGACAAAAGAGTAAGATCACGTTTTTCACATAGAAAGCTTTTGTTTCTTCCTCCTGCTAATGATGACATACAGCGGTAAAATTGCTAATTACTGCTCAGGTGTTTTTATTGTTTCTGCCCCAAATGTTTGGCACTTCCAGTGTAGTAATTGTTTTTAATTTTCTTAATGTCCAAATGAGGAAGATTGTTGGAGCACATTTTATCATTGCCAACAGACTCAAGCTTTCCTCCAGACTATGCTGTTGCCTTCAATGCAAAACTTCAAGTATCCTTTCCTGACTATGTTTTTTGATGAGATAACATGGAAATATTGTCATTTAGAAATATGTATTTCATTTTAAAGTATTCTAGCAGATAAGATCGTTGAGATTGTAAAGTCCTTGACATTTTTGCAGAATATATTGGCAGATGAGAGATTTAAAGAGATTATTAGTACATATCTGAATTTTGATTCAACTGTCAAACATTTGTTGAGATATCTGTAAGTTGTACTTCTTGAATCTGAAAGAATTGAATGGAGGTCTTGCTTTTAATATCCATCATTCATCATATACTGAACATACTGGTCATGGACCATGACACTAGATTCCGTGCTGTTTCTTATATGGATTTGGAGTCTGGAATGCTGTCACTAGAAAACTTCAAAGCTGCACTGTCAAATATCCAGAGGCATCCAAAGTTGGAATGCATAAAAGGTCGGAGAATTTATATCTTGCTTCATTGGACTTCATTATCTGCATTTTTTTCCTCCCATAGTTTTTGCCCGCCGAAAACTTGTGTATCTAACAGTGACGCAAAACAAAGCAATAATCTCTGGTTCCTGTCTTCTTTTTCTTCTCTCTTTTTCTTTTTCTTCTTCTTATGAAAATCAATGATTTCAAGCAGATTGCTCCATATTGGAACTTTACATTCTGGTATGCATGAAGAGGTTGGAAGTTAAAGAGCAGAACTCATACAATTTCAATTCTGTAATGAAAGGTGAATGTCTGATTCTTATTTTTCTAAGTGCTATCGTTAAGTTTTTGCTTACACGTTTGGCATATGTTGCAGAGTACAAAAGCATACATGATTCGGTCAAGACATCTGATTATTTTGCAAGAAATGTTTGCTTACGGGTATGCTAGCTCCTTGCTAAAATTGTGTTTATAAAAAATCTTAGTGTGTTGTTCCAGTTTTAGCACAATACTTTCATTTCTCACTTCTGCAGGCATTTGAACACCTTCTACAACGTGAACTGATTGGCTATACAGACAATAGAGGACAAAACCACTCTGTTGAGTTTTCTCCTGTGAAGCTTTTAGTCTCATTCCACGAACTGCACCAGGGCCTGAAATCATATGGTTCCTGTCCCGTAAGTCACTACTACTAGAAAATTTTGAGTTATTGTCTGGATGTGCTTGCAACTTAGTAATTTAATAAGAAAAACTATCGTGTTAAATCAGGTTAGAATTCAACTTATCGAAGCTCCTTTTTTCGTTTGTAGCTTCAAAACTCGGATATATGCATGTTAGATGATATGTCATCATCCCTTGATCTTAATGATGAAAATAATTTTTTCCTTCTGTAAACGAACTTAAGTTTTTGAATTACTTCACGAACCTAAACTCTATTTTTCTCTTTTCAATATGTTTGAATTAATCCTATACCAGCCACTTGGGTTTCATGAGCTCTGAAAGTGATTGGGGGGCATAATTTTGTTTGTGTTGACAGGCCATTCTTCAACAATTAATGGATCGTCAAAAATAGCGGCTGAAGAGACGGGATTGATGGCTGGTTAGCTGCTTCGTGTGTATGATAATTGGACATGTGATTTCTAGAATTTGTTTCATTAGTGATTCATTGTTGCTATCAATTTTTCATGATGTAAATATTTTTTTTTTTTATAAAAAAAAAACACTTTTCTTGCTTATAAATAAATTAATACAGTCCACACATGTTTCACAAAAATCCACCATGTTTTGGTGGTATAGATTTAAGAGCATTTACCCTCATTTTACCCTAAAACCTAGATAGAATAGAAGTGGTGGTCTTGTGACAATAACGTTCAATTTCGGATTACGAATCAGAAGTCCAACGTTTTGGGTTTGAGTTTGGGCTCGGTTCTGGAATATAGAGAGGCAACAGCTACCGCTGCTTCCACTCTCTGCCTCTCAAAACCCAAAACCCAAAACCCAGAACCCATCTCTGAGCTTCCACTATACCCTCTGCACTCAATGACCTTCTGCGCCAGAGCTTCAAAAGCTTTACCTGCCTCTGCCTCTGCCTCACACCCTCTTGCTCTCAACGTACGCCTTCTCTTTCCCCTCTCTAGTTCCTTCCACAACTGCCCTTCAACTACTTCACTAGCCAAGCCACCAAAACTCTCTCTGAGATTAATTTCCGATACCTTATTTTTGACACCGTTGAAGAAAAGCCCTTGGCTTTTTGCAACACCGAGTGGGTCTCTGATCATTTTCAAGCTGTTATTTATTGAGCCTGAGTTGTTTGTACGAGTCCTTGTTGAGAATAGGACCAGACCCAGAATTGCTTTAGGTTTTTCCCATGGGTAAGGAAGGGGAAATGCAACAAGCACCATTTTCATTACCTTTCCCTTCCAGGCAGAAAATGATTACACCCAATAGCTGTCTCTGTCCGTGTCTGTCTCTGCTGGTACAACATTTACTCTGGTTTGTTGGTCTGCATGCATCTCCTTGGCTGCCGCATACTTTACTCGATCAGTTCGCAGTTTGAAACATCCAAAACAGTGGGAGTAATTATTGTTGCTTTTGTTCTTTTTAATGAGGCTTTATGTTTTTCATGGGTCAGAAATTAGAACTTCGCCATTATTGTATTTTTTTTCTTTTTACCATTGTTAAATGAAATGATTAATTTCACAACAACTCTCTTTCAACAAATGTGCATATTTGGGTTTTGAAAGATTACCCCCAAAACCCCAAAACTTCTTCTCTCTTTTTAAGTGGAAGCGATGGTCGAACTATAAGGGGGTTTCTCACATACCCTACTAAGGTGCTATGTGGTTCGAACTTGAGACCATTAGTCTGCAAATCAATACATTTTTTTACTGGTCTAAACTACGTTGGCACTTCCTTTATTATTGGGAGACGAAACTTTAAAGGTAGTGTAAGTTTTGTTGTTGTTTAGTAGGAATTATGACAGACAGTCGTTCTCTATTCCAAAAGTAAATGGAAAGTACAAACATTTGCAACAATGGTGATTAGTAATTAACTAAGACCATCTCCAACCATGAGGGCCAAACCCAAATTTTAGGATTATAGCCCCAAAAACCTTCTCCAACCATGTATAATGAGGGGTGGTAATTTGGGTCAGACTGAAATCTTGGGTGGAATTTGGCCCAACTTTCCAGTCCGGGTGGAATTTATGTGGGCCCCAAGTCGAAGCCAACTTGTGCAGCATGTGAAGGAATGACAAGACAGGGCAAATTGGCTGGACACGTGGAAGGCTCGCATCAAAGGGACGTTGGAATCCAACAGCTCCCTTTGAAAACCAATTATGCATCTACTTGTTCTTTTTTTAATTCTTTATATAATCTTTTGGAGCCTTTAAAAGCTGGCCACGTGTAAAGCAATGGGAACCAACTTTTTGTCATTTTTCAAGCTTTCTCAAATAGATATAAACAGCCCATATTTTTTTCAACTTGATTTTTAACGAGAAAAAGAAGATCCAATTATCAAAATTAAAATCAAATGGTTAAAATAATATTTGTAATTTATCTAAATGAGATCCCACTCTCAAACTATACAATCATTCTCATTTTAATTTCAAGCCAAAAAAAATGTTATGTTCATGGAATTTTAATTTTTTTAGATTAAAATGTTTAGAAAATTAATTCACGAATGTTGAAACAAAATTAATGTCAAGAAAAATTAATGACAAAAAAAATTTAAGCGTTAATCATTCTTAAACAATTTAATAAAGTTGCGGACTCAAATTATGAGTCCGCAAGGTTGGAGGAAAAAACAGTTTGAGTCCTAAAAATACATGAATAGTTGTATTTTGGAGGGTGAAAATTTGAGTTTAGCCCTAACATGGTTGGAGATGGTCTAACCACGTAATGTTGAAAAATAGAGTGGAAAAAATTCAATTTGAAATCGTTCACTCCAATGCATGTATAATGAGAACAAAGGAAAATGCTTGCATTATCAACATGGAAATCACCGGTGGGGCTTAGATTTACTAATTGGTTGAGCAGAAAGTCGAAGGTAGAGAAATGCTGCATGTCTCATTATGTCTCATTATATATGTTTATTCTAATACCCTTTCATTTTCCTGGACACACATAATCCACCCTAGGCTTTGCTTTCTTGTTCCCTTCTATAGAAAAGCATTCCCAACCTCATATATATATATATATATATATATATATATATATATCTCTCTCTCTCTCTCTCTCTCTCTCTCGGGTAACTAATAACAATGCTGTCATCGTTACAAGTCAAACTGAACCAATATATTTTGTGGGTTTTGTTTGCTTGGGCATAAAGAAACAAACCAATTTCTTGACTGCGTAAATAGACCCAAGAATCAACTTCTGGAGGCAAAGAAAACTACTGCTTGTCTTGTGGTAGTTTACTGTATTACAGCATTACAGCAACAGCATCTTACTTTTTAATAGTTATCCATTTTCATTAACAAAAAACAAAGGTAACTTTCAAAAATAAGAATCAAACCAAACCACTCTCTCTCCTGAGAAGGAAGGAAGACTTGGGTTCTCTAGCACACATGCAGTCAAAGTCCCAGCCTATTGGTTGCCTAATGTCCTTTTAGAGAAAGTTTGGAATGAAACATTTGTTTTTATTGATCATACTGCAAGCACACGCTGCTGTCATGCCAAAAAACCACCACATCCAGCCTACTTCGTAATTTCATTTCACTCTACCAACATATGACAGGAAAAAAAAAACATATACAGATGTGACAAAATAATACTTACCCTTTTGTCTTCTTTGTCAATCGATCAAAACTATGTTAGCACAACTCAAATTTGGAGCTCCAAAACTCACTCTCTTTCAATGGACACAAGGCAATCTTTGATATATACAACTCCTATAACAAGGTTCCCTCTTTTTGTCCCTTAACTTTTTTAACTTATTTTTCGACAGCTCCGTCCTTTGGAAACTATTTAAACATCTCATTCCCCATTTCTCAGTTTCAACCTTTCTACCCAACTAAAAGGAAAATAGAAATGGCCACCTTCTCATATCTGGCCTACTTTCCTGTAAGGTGCTCTTCCAACAGGGATAGCTACGACCCGAATAAGCAAAAGCTGAATAACATCAAGATTAATGGAACTTCTACCAAGTCCACAACCAAGCAGGTTGAGGCTGGAGTGACAACCACTTTCACTTCTGTTGCTTCTGTTACTGCAAATGGCTACATGACTGAACAGAAAGTTCGACAGAACATCCCGACAACGAAGCAGTCTGTCGATCATTTTCGACAAGGGATCGCCGTTGAAGGGGGCGTGGGGTACAGACAGAGGGTTGTTATTAGGTCCTATGAGGTCGGTCCTGATAAAACTGCAACATTGGAGAGCATCCTCAATCTTCTTCAGGTGATAAATTAAACTAACTTTCAAGTCTGGTTTCATATTTTTCAGAATTAGCTAGAATTACATAGCTTTTGGTACGCAGGAAACAGCTTTGAATCATGTGTGGATGTCTGGACTCCTCAGTGATGGATTTGGAGCAACCCATGGAATGATGAAGAATGATCTTATTTGGGTTGTCTCCAGAATGCAAGTTCAAGTTGATCAGTATGCAATCTGGTAACTCCAACTAACCATCAAATTTATGAAAAAAAACTGAAGCAGTACTGATGTTGATCTCTATTAATTTGCTACCAACTTCATAGCATGGAACTAATTTGAAGTAAATTATGCAGGGGAGAGGTACTGGAAATTGACACTTGGGTAAGAGCATCAGGGAAGAATGGTATGAAGCGTGACTGGTTAATCCGAAGCCAAGCCACAGGCCAAGTTTTTGCTCGGGCAACCAGGTATCAAATAATTTCTTCAAACTTGCCATCACTTCCATGTCCTTTACCTTATGATTGATTATATCTCAGTCTCATCATTGATATTATGCTTGTCCAAAACATGGAACAGCACCTGGGTGATGATGAACCGGAAAACAAGGCGCCTCTCGAAAATGCCAGAAGAGGTGAGGGCTGAGATTGCACCTTGGTTTATAGGGAAACAGGCCATTGCAGATGATGTCCCTGAGAAAATTGTCAAGTTGGACAACAAGGCTATGTATGTGAACAGCAACTTGAAGGTAAAAATCTCATGTCCAAATCACTCCAAAATACCAAGCACATCCATATGTACAGTTAAAAGAATTTAAGCATATGCTGAATATGCTATTTTCTTATTAATTTGTGTAGCCCAAGAGAAGTGATTTGGACATGAACCACCATGTCAACAATGTGAAGTATGTTAGATGGATGCTTGAGGTAAATATAACCAATATCAGCCTGATCAAGTGTTTTTTTTTTTTTTTTTCCATTATTAATTAATTTAGGTTCATCTCCGTTTTCGACAGACCATTCCGGACCATATTTTGGAGTCCCACCAACTGTCTGACATCATACTAGAATACAGAAGGGAATGTGGGAGTTCAGATATAGTTCAATCACTTTGTGATCCAGATGAAGAAGGAATGCTTATAGAGGGACTGAAACAAGAGAACCGTGACATGAATTTAATGAATGGGTTTTCTTTGGCAGCTGGAATTCTTGAGGGTGGTGGGTTCCTAGGGTTTGAGAAGCAGCCATTGAGGTATACACATCTCCTCCAAATCAATGGGGAGACTAAAAATGAAGAGATAGTTAGAGGAAGAACTACATGGAAGAAAAAATCACCCACCACCCCATTTTCTTCTATGTAGCAAATATTGTATAAGACAAAGGGGTTTAGAAGCTTGTCCAATCTTTGAACATCACTGACTCGTCCACTGCCTAAAAGGCTTTAGGATTTGAATGGTAAAAAGGCATGCTGTGGGTACGCTCTAAACCCCCAAGGATCTTTCATTGTCTTAGTTCTGCGAGCTTCATGGGAAGCTGACTGAAGATCCTAATAAACGAGCCAGAGGTGTAAATGGCAAGTACCCAGAAAAGGGTAACAGAAGAACACAAGAAGCATCGTGGATTCTACAGAGTGAAATAAGTGTAATGAGTGGAAATGATGAATGTAAAAAATGAACATTAGCTTAGCTTCATAGGTAAAGGGACCAAACAGGGAATTATTAAAATGAGTCGTTTGATATGGATCTGTATAGCCATTGTTGTCATATTATTTGATAAAAGTTAATAGTAATTCCATCATCAAAATGGTAGAACGAAAGCTTCCATTGTCATTTGGTACATTATTACATATATGAAATCTTTTACTAACAATTTTATAAGTTATAACCCATAAAATAAAAAACCTAAACATTACAACATAAAGGAATTGGTAGTTCAAAATGGCTCATCCTCAGACTCGGAAAAAACCTGCTAGTAATAGTGGCAAACCAGTAATTTCCGAGCCTTAAAAGTATTTGCAACAGCCTGGCTAGCAAGAAAGAATAAATATTTTCTACTCAAGGAACTGTGATCCGCTAATCTAAAAGAGAATCAGGATGTACAATTAATAAAGGGTGATAAATATTTACAACATGGATCGATAACCTTGAGACCAGGGGCAAGGAAGCAATCAAAGAATGATGTACCCAATAGTAAAATCATCGCCTCTTTCTCCCTAAACTTCGATGCAGTTGCCACGACCAAACAATCAAAAATAATACAAGGGCCACTCCAGCAGACATCCAAAACGTTACCATCCACAGTGGCATTGGTTTAGGATACAATCCTGAGCAAAATTAATAATAAGAAGAAAAAGATGAGGTACTTATTGTGACCAAAACCAAGTATGTGCCAAGGAAAAAGACAACATACCATGTCCAAACTTTATGCAAATCAGAAGTTCAATAATGCAAATAGCCACGGAAAGCCAACAAAATGCCCCAACCTTCTTCACTGGTGTTCTGCAAATACAGTAATCAAACCAAAAGGGTAAGCAGTCAACTACATGTCACTGCAAATAAATTTCCATTTAAATACAGGCGTGTGTGTGTGTGTGTGTGTGTGTGAGAGAGAGAGAGAGAGAGAGAGAGAGTACCGATCTTGAAGGTATGAATTGTACTCGCGAATTGTTGGAATTGCAATTAGCCACCACAAGATCAACCTATACACAATCAAGGGGTTCCGCGGCGGAATCCATAGACAGAACTTAAGAAAGAATGTATTGAGCTCTACAGTCATGAATACAATGCAAAGAGTGAGGACTTGAATGAAACGCCATGGACCAAGCAAGGGATGCCACTCATCTTTGTCCCACTGAGCTGGTGTAAATTGTCCCAGTGTTCGTTTGACCTGAAACCATAAAGATCGCATCTCCCAAATCACAACTTGTGAATAAAAACGTCCATGACACCAACAAGGATAATATCCTTCTACAGAAAGGACAGGAATCATATGAGTTCCTGCTTACCTCATAAAGACAATTAAGTGGTTGTTACTCCACAATATTACAGTAAACAATTCCCACTATTTTATTACAGACCATGGTAACTATTTATTGTGATTGCAGTATCTAAAAAAGAGGGAACATGTTACTAAAAAAGAGGGAACATGTTACCAACTGCATAAATTGCAACAGAGACACTTACTACTACTTTCAATTTATTACAAGTTAAAAAGTGAAATTTTTCCTTAAACCAATTGGCAAAAAGAGTGCATTCGCGGTCAACCAAAATGTGTAATTGAATTTCAAAACTTACTTTTCCAATAATATTAGGCTGTCGACTTAGCCAAGAACACCAAACAGAACTAATCACAGGAGGCCACAACAATTATTTGTAGATATTAACTTGCACACAAAACTGTTAGAACTAATAACAGTAACTACAGACTATATTGTTACACTCATGGTGGCAAATCATGAATACAAATACAAGATCCCATCATGCAAATGTTTGCATAATAAGCACAACTTGTGCTCTTAAAGTTCTTAACAAATTCAATAAGAAACGGAGAATACAATAACCTCTGTCTCTAATTGGAATATGCGATCAAGTTATAGAAATAAAATCTAAAAGAGTTCCAGCCCGGCAATTCAACTTGTTGAATCCCAAGAACAGTCTGGATTGTCAGCAAAAAATTTTGGAAGGTAATTAATGATACCAAAAAGATAAAGCAATTCAACTTGTTGAATCCCAAGGACAGTCTGAGTTGTCAGCAAAAGTTTTTGGAAGGACAATAATGATACCAAAAATATAAATAAAAATAAATGACAAATAAAATGGGACAGACAAAAAAACTCCTATGCCAAGATATTATGCTATAACTTAGCAAGAGAAGGCCAATATTGATAATGTAAGAGAGCTCTCACCAAACCAGTTGCAGATCAAAATGTCAAGAATAATACTGTCCCACCAGCATTCATTGAAATTTGGTAACATGTGGCGGAAGGTAAGCTGAACATGACAAATAAGCTTTATGTTACACTCAAGGCAACCACTTAAGCATACATAAAATTAGGTATAAAGTCAAGCAACTAACCTCCATCAACTCAAATCCAATGGAAAGCACCCACAGAAGGGGCTGATTACGGATCAGTATAGCCTTTCCCCACCACCCAACTATATGAGCTACAACAAATTCATCAAAAAGTGTTTCCTAGGGAGAGAGGAGAAAGAAATATCAGAAGACCCGTGATACTCTACTGATGTAGATTCAGAACATAACATTACATCAGAAACAATTAAAATAGATAGTGTGAAAGAAGAAATCATACATAAACATTCTTAAACCTGCTTTTAGGATTTTCAGGCAAATATATGCGACAATCAGCACCATAAGATCTTTCTGGAAGTTCTGTATGAAATCAAGAAATACAAACAAAAAATGAATACCTTGATTATACTATTTGAGCATAAAAAGTTTCGCAAATCTAAGCTTAACAAATTTCATGATAAAATTTCCCTAATCAGCTAAATACCAAATTAAACATTTGGAAAAAGGAATTGCATTACACACACCCAGATCAGAAAGGACACTTATCAGCTATATTTTAATATTAAAAAATTTCAAAAAAAAAAAAATGAAAGAAAAAATGAATTGCATTACCAACACCAAGATCAGGATGGAGAAACTTCATAAACTGCCGAGCATCATCACGCTTCTGTTAAGTGAGAAACTAAGCATTAGCTATCACAAGAATTTAGACTTTAGAACAATTCATAACATAGAGTTCAAAAGAAAAGTTTCCTAAAGAATAAAATTAGTCTTTTAGAGGAAAGAAAAAAACCAGCAGCAGTGGAGAAACTTGAATTTGTTAAAGGAACAAAATAACAAAACATATAGGCAGAGCAAATGAACTTCCAACAAACAGAACAAACATAAATACATGTATACACAGACACGCAGAAAATTCACAAAAATAATACAAAAAGAAGAAAAGAAGAGAAAAAAAAACCAACCTGGAAAAGCAAAAATGTGAGAGCAACAAGGTAAACAACAGCCATTCCATGAACCAAGCGCCAAATTGCAGGATGTGGTCTGATAAGAACCCTGCATGAAATATAACAGAGCATAAAGCTAACAATCTCACACCAGTATTACTGTAGTGTAAATGCTATTAGCAAAAGTAGTACTTGCATATAAGAAAAATGAAGAAGAAAAGGTAAAGATATCTAGTCACCAAGAAAAACAAGACATATGGGTTTCCCACAATCCCCCAAAATCTTTCCCCTAAAGATGTTCCAATCTAACATGTATCAGTGGACTCCCAAGTTCAAGTGACAAAAGGAACTAAAACTAATAGTCAAAGTAATATTCACTGACTAGAGAAAAATGTCAATATCCCATTCCAATTATTAAAGTGTTGAACCACTAATACAAAGATTACAGCATACTGACAAGAGTCCAAAAAAGAGATGAAAACAAAATTCACAACTAACTCAATCCTCACTTACGTAGATGGGGCTTGCAGCAAGCAATAAGCAAGAAAAACTGCAATCATTGCCCATACACCCCTGCGGGAAAGGGTAGGCATGGTGATTAACAAATTCCAAAAAACAAATAAGAGTATACTGTCAAACTAATCACCAAATTTAAAAACGAAGAGCAAACCTTTTTACAGATGTAACAAGATCTCCAGATGCACTGCTTTCTGGATCTAGGGCCCCACTTACCCAACTGGAAGGAAATTCAAACAAACAACAAGACATGGCAGTAATTGGTTATCTCTTAATACTTCAAGATTTTTTTTTAAAAATACAAACATAGATCACCATTGTATCAACACTGCAGAAGTAGAGTATAAGCTCATCTAAGGCAAGCTACCCCTTTTTCGGGTTCAAAGGAGACCTAAGATCTGAGAGGTGAGGGTAAATGCTCTACCAGTGGAGGCTACAAGCCTCCACATAGGGGTAAAGCATGTTCATTTTTAACAGTTGCTACAGTCATCTGTTGTGCATAACAGAAAATTCACCAAATAACTAGAAAAATTTGTTGTTAAACCTGAAAATGAGATTACAAAAACATAAAATATCCCATTTGCATTTGAAAAATAAATCCTGTAAGCCTAATAGAAGGAACTAACAGCATAATTGCATCACATAAGTCATTGAACTGACACTTTGATATGCTAATGCAACCACACAAACATGATATCTAACAATTCAACTGCCTTTGTAGTTTATACAACAACTGAAAGAAATCAAGAATCGAAAGCCATGGGAATATGGTGTGACATTCACAAAATCCATCTGATGCCAATGGCTTGGCAGGGAGCCTAAAATCAATGGTAAGCCAACTATTGATAGGGAGGATCTACTTAGTGGAAGGAGCACTCACATAAGAAAACATGCGCCAATAAGTAACATTGAAATGGTCCGAGGCCTGTATGCCCATGCAGTCCATGGATCTAGTTCATCACCGGCATTTGACTGACTTGTGTCCCCATTTTCTTGAACACAATTATCCTTTCTCCTCACTCTCCTATGACCATTAGGCTCCATCGGCCTCCAGTACAAGGATGATATTTGCTCGCTACAGATAATAAAACAAAAGATCAGGTAGGGTTATTTTTTTGGCAAGATCATCCCTGATTTTCCACCTTATATTAATTACAAATTAAAGAAACAAAAAGAAAATGAGACCACTGAAATGTAATAGGGAAAATAACAGTGTGTCAAAAACATGTCAAAGGTAGTCACAAATATATCCAATAGTGCGGCATATAATTCTCGTGATTATAAATACCAAATAATGAGTCAGTTTTCTTAAGCCTGCCAGAAAAATCTAAGACCAGGATGGAGAAAACTTAGCATAAGGTTAAAGCAAGGAAAAGAAGTCCATTGCATGTAGTTAACTTAATCCTACCACATCCCTAGAATATTGTTCTTATAAGAAAGAACCCAATAATGATGCTGAAAATACATAATCAAATCAGAAAAACTAAGTGATACAAATTGCAAAAGTTCAAATATATTGTTAACAGGAAATGATTTGCATCATAAAATGAAAGGCAATCAGCAAACTACTAAAAGCCAGCTAACACGATAAGAACACCAACACAAGCTTTTCATAATGTTACCAAAAAGTATACCATTCATGACCAACTCATGACATGTATGCATGAACTAGTTCCATGATCATCAAGTTTACAAGTTTTCTTTAAAAAGGTAGTGTCATGTGGAATCTGCATCCTCACAAATATGATCCTCACATAAGATGACCACCATTGATGTAACATAAGTTTACAAGAGAAAAAAATTTTGCGGTGGTTAATCAAAATCTGAAAAGCAAAGACCAATACAGAAAGTTATAATATCCCATTTCATAATGGCCCCATTACAGATAATTTTATTCCTTGCAATGCTGTCAATGTTAAAAAGCACATATTCGATTCCCACAAAACAAAACCACTGAGTCCTACATGTTTGAGACATAGATTTCATAAAGAAATGGAAAATCTAGTCAGCCACAATTTGATGCATTTTGCCCTACATAAAGGTACAGTCCCTACAGGTTGTCCTACAGGTTATAAACATCCAACACCATCATCCTGTATAAAGTAACTATCTCCTTCCACATAAAATTTTTACTATCTTATTGGAAATTCAGAAAGTAATGTACACAGTGGAAACCTTGAAAAATCAAAATATACAAAAATCCCTAATGACCAACCATCCGTAGCCTGATTTGCCCACAGTCAAAGGGTATGTGTTAAGTAAGCAAGCATCTGTTTTGCTCTAATAATTCAAACTAAAACAAGCCCATTAAAAATTATGTCCCACCCTTAACCTGTATGTGCTTAGGGTCCAAGACTCTTAAACCTAATCCCTATACTCAAAATTCTTAACCTAGTTTTGTACCCCCAGTAAACAAAAGAAGCTTCTACACATCATAGAACAGAAACGCATTCATAATTATGTATACTGTGAAAGGAATTAACAGTATACTATAACCAATGACAAGACTAAACTCAATACTTAACCAAAACCCATACTACCAAGACCAAACATAAAATCTAATCAGGTATATACCAGCACACATGTATACAAAATCAAATTTAGCTGCGGACAACAGTAACCAAAAGTTCCCATCTAGAAATTTCAAAGTTAAGGCTGTAACATCTATAAAAAAACACGTGCTGATCATGTGCTTACCAAGCAGTATACACACTCAGTAAGCCAAATGAAAAAAACAAATACCATGAATACATTTCTATAGTAAAGTAAATCGGATATCAGTGCTTGAAATCGAGAGCCCCCATACCAGTGCAAGAAGTCATATAATTCGAAGTTAAAATCATTGCATGTTGGAAATAATCAAAGATTGTGTCAGATTTTGAAACAAAAGCATAAATCTGAAAATTGGCGTCTTTTTAAATTTTGTTTTCTAAAAGAAACAAAAATTCGTAATTTTGAATGAATGAAATGAAATGAAACGAATCACAAACAAAAACCAATATGCCGAGCGGGATAAGATTTATATATATACATAAATGAAAACAACACAGAAACAGTATATATACAGTGATATATAAATACCCAAGTACGTATCTCAGTATACGTATATGCGTGTTAGTGTGTGTATATAGAATATACGAAGATAAATGGGTACCGTATGACTGAAAGACCGAAAAGAGAGAGAAAGGTTGGTAAAAATAAAAAGGCATGTATTTGAGGGAGAGATACTTACGTAGAAATAAAGGAGAGATAGCCGTACGAATGGAAGACGAGAAGATCGTGGCCGTCGGATCAGAGCTTTTGGAAATTTGCACAAACAGGTAGTGCGTGCGAGAGAGAGAGAGTGTTTAATTATAACAAGAAGAAGAAGAAGAAGAAGATAAATGAGACACTTAGAGAGAAAAAGGTTTTGTATTAATCAATCTACGAAATGAAATGAATAGGCTTTTGCAGTGGCAGAGAGAAAAGTGAGAGAGCAAAGGATGACTCAATCTCAGTCTCTCTCTCTTTTCTCGCACAGATAGTTTTTTCTCTGCAACAACGGCGAAAAGGCGAAGGGTGATGATGGGAGAAAACCCAAAAAAGAAAATCAGAAAAACCAACTTAGACGCCTTATAAACATATTTTTTTATTTATTTATAATATTTCCATTTTACAGAGAGGAGAGAGAGAGAGAGAGAGAGAGAGAGAGCGTGTGTATAGTGGTACGACGGTCAAAGAGAGATTTGAAGATGTGTCAGCAGAAAAAGGATGAGATTTGAAGATGTTTTTTTTTTTTGGTTTTCTCAGATGCGGTTGGGTTGAGGGACTGGAGAGCTTGAGAGGTACAAATAAATAGGAAAATTAAATGAAAAAGTATGGGACTTTTATACCGGAATTGGCCCTGGGGATCTTCTTTAATTGCGGTATATTATCATTGATGATTCATTGATTCCCTTTCTCCCTACTTTTCTCTCATAATGCTTCTTTTTTAATATGACTTTATTTCATGATATTTTATGTTTTCATTATTTTTGGGGTATATGGTGGTACGAATGCTTTTCTAATAAATAAATAGATATGAAAATCATGACTTGCAAATGAGAACATTTATTTTCGACATGTGAATTCAACTAATGATTTATGAAACAGGGTGGTTGTGTATAAATATAATCTCAGTATTTGACTGCTTCAGATGAAAAAGAAAAAAGAAGAGAAAGAAACTCGGATTGCAAATTTGACCAAAACAAATGATAAGACGAAGAGCACTCAATTTGCACTCATTGCCGTTGAACCAGAGCGCACAGCACACACGGGTTGCCTTTTGGATTTGTTTATTAATCGCTCATGTGATCAGAAGGGCCGGCCATGATTACTTTTACAAGAGGTCATCGATGCCAAGCAGACACAACAGTTATGACTCATGAGCTAACAATTCAGATTTACAATGAAGAAAAAGAAGAAGAAGAAAGGGACAGAAATTTGTGTTGAAATATCAAATCCAACCCAACCCAAAAGGAAAGGGGGAAAAGAAAAAGAAAAAAACACAAGAGACAAGGCTACGGACAACAATTCCAAGATGAGAACAGCGTTTGGCGCACGTAATTTCCAAATCCATAATGTGTTATGCAGAAAAGCTGCATTGTTATTAAGGCTTTAAAGTTGGTACTTCCGTTGGTACAGTACCAGCCGAGCGGAAGAGCAAGCTGACTGCTTTTTTTTTTTCTTCTTCTTTTTCCTGACCTGCTGAAACAATTCGTCAACTCAACTAGTGTTGTCACCTTGATGCGGGTTTCAATTAATTGATTGACTAATTAATCAATCAATTAGTTAATTAAATTGAAATCAATGAGAGACAACATAAAATTAATTAAATAAGTAGTAAAGGACATGATGATGCATTGTTAATAATAAGGTACAGCTGAGTGCTGGTTGGAACAGGGTACAGTGAGAGTGAGAGGCAGTGGTCCGTGTCCGTTGGTTTAATGATGGTGATGATGATCCGTGCGTGTAGGGTTGGGACTTTTTTCCCTGCCTTACAGAATAAATGAAGGGGTGGACTGGGGATTATGGGGTGGGGGGAGAATAAAATAAAATAAAATATTTTGAATGAGAAACAAAAATTGATCAAACGCAGGCATGCAGGCAGGCTAGAATAATCCAGCTGGGCTACTCTACTGGGTTTGGGAATATTGCTTTGAGTTGTTCCACATCAAATATGAAAAATACTACACTCCACTCTACTCTTCACCAATCATTTTCAATAGAGGGCTCCACTTGTCACTTGAACCCAACCCAACTCAACCCACCCAACCCATTGCTTCCCTTTGTTGTGCACGCCTCTATCATCGTACATATATTTTGATCAAAAAGAAAAAAGAGGAAGGGTTATCATTACATTGACTCACGTGCACCCGAACAACTGATGCTAATACTTATTTTAACCCGTAAGTAAATTACAGATAGATCTATGTGACTAGGAGCCCAATATGTTTAATGAAATTGATAGAAGGATATTGTATTGTAAATGTGTGGTGAATTGGACTGACAAGCTTCCCCCGACATGCCCCATGGGATAAAAATAAAAAGTGTGTAAGTAGACAAGAGTTGAGAGAGAGACCCCAGTTTGTTTGTTTTGTATTTCCAGAGTTTGGGTTTCTTTCTTTGTTAATTAATGTCACGGGATTCACAAACCTGCGATGTGCGATCGGACTAAAGTGGCCCAAAGTTGTGCTCCCCTTGCACATAATCCATTGTCCACACACACTTGCACTTACTTTTTGAATTTTGATTTCTAATTTTAGAAACATTAAAAGAAACTGTAGAAAAAAAAGGGATATGAAAGGGTCAAACAAGACCAAAAGGCTAAAGGCTCAAAGGGGGTCCGCCGACCTTACTTTCGGTCAATTTCAGTTCCACTAGAAGCTCCAACAAGCACACAGCGTGACGACGAATGCGCATCCTCACATGGTTTGGACTCGGGGGGGAGCTTTCATTTGGGCACAAAAAGAAGCAGTCATTTTCAGCTCATTTTATTACTTAATATATGCTCTTGAGCAGCATCATGGACAATTGGACATGAAAGGGGCAAGACCTTCCCAGCCTGTCCCATACTCGTATCATATGCTTCAGATTCCATAATTTTCCACATTATTTACCTAATCAGTAAGCCGACCCCCGACAGCCATATCGATGTCGCCTTTCGAGGAAGTGGGTTCCAAATTTGTTTTTCTTTTTCTTTGAAAAAAAGAAAGAAAAAGAAATTGGAATTTCTCTGCAAATGATGGCTTCTTTTGTTTGTGGCTCGGATTTAACCCAATTATAAAACTCAAGGAAGGAAAGGAAGGCGGTCTTGCTTTTGTTGGGTCAAGATTGCTGTGCGGCTGTGCCTGTGAGATGCAGTGGCGTTATTTAATTGAAACTTGAAGGGGATTGTGGTCCCTTTCCCCTTGGAAAAGAAAATAAAATTTGTTTTAATAAGAGAAAATCAAAGACCCATCAGCGGTTTTATCTCCCATATTTTTAAAGTTTGAGTCACATGCAACAAGTCTACTCGTGTCGTCGTCTCGTCATGGGCAATCGAATTGCCAGTGCCACCACATGCAATGCAAATATGTACTGCGTCTGCGTGTACGTTTCTCTATTTTTCATTTTACAATTACATCAGACTCTGTCATTTGGCGTTCGTTCTAAAGTTGTACCTTGAGTTTTGCATCTTCTCGTCAAAGTCGAAAATACAAGGACCCAGATTCCAGGAACAATTCTTCCTGGGATATGATCATTTCACTGCAGCTATATTACCAAAATAATCAGGGCCATTCTGGAATTTACAAGCAGCTACTAATTAACAAAAAGTGAAAAGGGTAACATGTTTTCACTACACTGGCCTACGAACCATCCCAAAGAATAATATGTTACATCAAAGTGAAAATCCAAGCTCACAATGGCTTGAGAAATCACCCGTTTTGCATTTGCAAATGTGTTCGTGTATATTTCTCCTCCACTCTTTCTAAGTGCTGATAACTAGAATTTCACCTGTCCTTAACAAACTCTCTTGGTCACCATCATTCAGTGCTGTGATCCAAATGCGACTACTGCAATGGCCAAAATATGTCAATTCCAGTCCCCTCAACTTTAGCTCAGATGTACCCTGTCTCCTGAAGCAGACGATCCAATATGCCAAAATCAACCACAACTTTGGCATCTTGAATACTATTTGCTGGTGATGTCTGATCAATTATGGGTGTAAAATTATGTAGAAATCAGGCCACATCTGCTGGCTTTTTAGGCGATAATGCTGCCCGACCTTTCACTGTTTCCTGAGGCAGGTAATAAAGTTGGACATTGTGACCACATTGGTTCTCAAAGGAACTCTCCCAAGCACCACCAGTTGTGTTCACTGCCCTCTCATTAAGTCCTTTTTGGGAGGGAGGATTGGCAAATAGGGATTTAATTATGGTCCCTTTTGCTTTTCTTCAACATCATTGACACATGATTGATGTAACCGTGGCCCATTTGTGTTCCACTCACCAGCCACTGGATGGCCTCAGCTGCTGCATCTTTTTCTGCACTCTTCTTGTTATTACAAGGCTGGCCCATAATTTCCATTCCGTTAAACTCTACTGTAGCTCGGAACTGGCTGTTCTTCAGTTGCTTAGTTTTGTAGGTGGGTGCAGCATATCCTGCTCTTGTGAGCAATGTCTGGAGCTGACTCTTAGAATTATCACCCCCAGGGCCACTGTCAGTTCTTGAAACCAAGGTTGAGGCTGGCTGTGCTGCCAAGACAGATGGCTTTGAGGATGTAAGGACCTGGCGGCCAAATACAAATCTACCCTCTCCTTGATCCTCTGAGAGCAGCAACCGCACTGCAGAAAGGAGTTCATGAAATGCGTGTGTGTCCATCCTGGGGTTCAGTAGCTGTTCAAGGTTCACCAGAATTGACATTAGCTAGAGGTAACAATAGGAGAACATATATTCAAAACTCACTTCAAGGGGCAACTAAAGAAACTATAAGAGCAAAAACTACAGGGTTCCAACAGGTTAAGTCTTAAAAGAAACTAAGTTCATTAGTAGTTTAACTTACTTTGGTTTGAATTAACTCATCAAGTTCCCCTTTTAAACATTGATACATTTCTGCTATAGCAGGTTTCATGAAGAACTCCAGATATCCTCCCAGCATTTTCAAGTGTCCATCCTGCCAGAACAGGAATTCAATCCTAATATATCACTCGTACGTAACAAAGAAATAAGAAGAAAAAAAAAAAGGAACAGCAGCAATAACAGAAAACAAAAAACAACACTAACAACATAAGAGAGCAGTATGCCCACTCCCGCAATCCCAAATAAAAAACATGACACAGTCAGCAAACACCAGAAATGAAATACTTACTACAGCCCCTTTTGAAAAGCTTCCACCAAATAGGAGGAGCATTGAGTCAGACACAGCTGTTGAATCCCGTAGGAAAACAGAGTTCACTTTTATCTTCTCATTGAAAACCAGCCATGGATATGGAATTTTAGGTTCCCGAGCATTGACAGAGTTCTAGACAAATGATAAGAACATGAGATGAGATTAAACTAAAACAGAAGCAAGGACATCTTTTCTTCAATGTGATGAACAATGCTTACCGAGTATAGCAGTACCTGACCGTCCTCCATAGTTTTCAATGAGAATGACTTCTCATTGTGCTGCATTATAAAAGAGAAATGAATCATGTTCTACATATATATACAACAAACTCACTAACAAACACTGACACAATTTTTAGCCAATAAGCATGTTTAATTACATCCTTATGGCTAACTTTACTTCCCAATTTGATTAAAAAGGCATGTATTCATCACGAGATAACAATCATGAATCCAACGGATGGAGGAGATTGACAGCATCAAGAATTTAGAAAAGTAATCAGAAAAGATTTAGCTTAATTAACACCAGAGCAAATTAATGCTTACCACAACAGAGCAAATTCCAGGATACAGGCCATAGCAAATAACTGCACGGATGAGATGCTCGTCATAACTCCATGCATTATGGGTGGTGGTGTTGGCATCAACAAGATCAGTATCTCTGAGCAAAGAGAAGAATTCCTTCCTAAGAGAATCAATAGCTTTCATCGATTGTGCTGAAAGAAAGTTCTTCCAGCAGTAGTCATACCCAGCAAAGTCTCTTTCAGCAACCTTCCAGCCCTCATAGGCCCGCACAAGAGCAAGGTGATCACTATAATCTCGTGAAAACTGTGACTTTGCCGCCTCAGCAAGCTACAAAGATAAACAAATAAAATAATAACCATAAATTGTATTTAACGATAATGATACAAGGCCACAGTACAAATATCGTAATTCCAAAACTCGCTCCTCCCTCACAAAATCTGGGGGAAATATAACAGTCCAACTCTTTGCCTCAAGTTCTAACCAAGAAACAAAGAGCATGATAAGTCCAATATGAAATAGAATCGAAGAGCTGACTTACGTCTTTCTTGTCAAATGGTGTTAGGAAAGGATCTCTGACACTAAGGCCAGAAACAATAGTTAAAACTGGATCCAGGCAGTTGAAGATGGCGCCTACCAAGAGCATCTTTCCAAGTTTTGGCTCCACAGGAAGCATAGTTAGATAGCGTCCTGTCAAGTGACTTAGATTGCATGAGGCTTATTGCTTTAAGAAGATAACATCTCAGCCATTACAAAGAGTTGCAAGCATCACAATACATAATTGAAACATTAAAAGAATAATATATCTCTTCCCACCTAAAACAGTCAGATTCTCGTTCTCATCTAAGGCCCCAATGATCTTTAAATACTCTATGGCATTTTGCACCTATGAAAGATATTAGGAAACAAAATATGAATTGCAGCCAAAAAGCAAAATTTGCAAATAAATCACAACAGTTTCAGGAGGAACAATATGGGGCGAAATCAGCCTGATGGAAATCTCAGTTCCTTTCAGCAATAAAAAATTGTCCAATTGAAGATTTAAGTTAATAACATTGGGCTGAGAAATGTGAAAATGACTGTTACCGCGAGTAACTCTGGTGACTGCAGAGCCCTAGATAAGAACTCAGAAATGCTTCCTAGGTTTAAACTTTTTATTTGCAGACAGAGAGACTGCAGAGGCGTTCTCAAAATTTCTGGCAATTGATACTCTGCAAATGCTTCATATACACATCTAGGATAGAGATGATAACATTCCCCAGGCTGGACACGTCCAGCTCTTCCTCTTCTCTACAATATAGATAAGCACAAAGAAATGTATTCAATTAGTGTTACAGACTGAAACTTAACATGAGCTGAACATTAAGCACCAAGCAATCTCAAAACTCAAAAACATACACAAATGTTAGTAAATCCTCTCTATATTCATGTTTTTATTTCACTAATTAGAGAACACTAAGTAGGCACATCATCTTGGTATATTCTGAAAAGAAGGCATGGAATGAGCAATTGGGAGCAGTATCAGGTGCAGGCATAGTACGACCAGTGTCAAAGCCCACGTTCCTTAGTCTCTTAAAGGGAAACAAAGGGAAAACCTCTCTTGGGTGTTTATACAGAAAACCCTAAAGTTCTGAAAAGAATTGAAAAGGCTAAATGCTAATTGGATATATTCTTATACCAGAAAAATGGGGTTGCCTTCAGAAACTTTTTTTCTGCTACTCATTCTACCACACATGCATGCACAGAACAATGTAGGTCTACAACTTGAGTTGAACAAAGATAACTTATATACTGCCAGTTCATAATAGTTTTCGTCTAAGCGACCAAAATCTTCAGCCAGAACACATTCTTACTTGTTGAGCAGACACCTTGGAAATCCAGGAAGGAAGCAAACAAGGAGTATTATTCAGTGCGTCATATGAAGTCTCTTTTGCCTTTCCACAATCAAGAACAAAAACAACGTCATTAATTGTGATGCTTGTCTCAGCAATATTAGTAGCCAGCACTATTTTCCTCACTCCATCCTCATGCTCATCAAATATTAACCTCTGCATGCAGTCAACATGGAAACAATAAAAATGGGAGAAACCACGATATTAAAATTGGCTAGAAAGTAGGTTCAGTAGTAACTCCTTCATTCACCATAGATAACAAAGAACTATGGCAGCATCTATGAAGGATGGATTACTTCAGGTGAAGACAAATTATGGCAGCATCAAATAATGGATTGACCATTAACCACAATTATATGCAGAACAGCATCCTATACACGTATGCAAACAAATTATGCTATCCATTGTACAGTAATCAGGGCATTAAAAACTTACCTGCTCAGAACTTGCCATAGAACCATGGCATGCAAGCAACAAGACTCGGCTTGAATCACCTAAGAGAGGATTGGCATGTAACTTTTCCTTCAGAGAGTTGATGTCATCCCATCCAGTCATAAAAACTAGAATAGCACCAGGCCTTTCACTCTCACAGATATTGCACAAAAGATACTCTATGAGATTAAAACCGATACAATCAGGATTCCAACATGCTAGAGATTCCTGAGTCTGGGGACCATACCCATTAAAATCGGCTGCTTTAAGTGCATCCTGAATACATTCCAAGAGGGCAAAATAAGATCCAGGAAATGGAAAAGGACTAAAGCGTTTATGCAATAGCTTGTATACCTCAACAACGGATGCAATTTGGCTTTTCCTCTTTCTTGGTGCCTGTTTGCTCATTTTCCACATCTTTTCTTGACCATAATCATCAATCTGATTGTATGGAGTTAATCTGCAGCCCGTAATTTCCAGAACATCCTCCAGAAAATGAGTTCGAACTGGATATGTAAAACCCTAAATTGGAGGGGAAAAACAAAAGTACAAAACCATCTCAGACCATTATTCCCTATCCTCTGCAACTTGCATTAATAAGTTAATACATAATTCCCTCAGGAAACAGAAGGAAATACACATCAATACATAACATCCCTCCAATACATGAGGAAACACACAAATTCTTAACAGAAATACACATCTCTGGATGGAGAAATTGCTACTTACGACATTTTTTTTTAACTTACTGGAACATGAATTATCTGAGCCCTACCAAAGTAGGATGAGAAAAGTTCAGAATCTAGGGTTGCGCTCATCAGAATCAGCCTCAGTTCTGGTCGACGAGGTAGGAGATCCTTGAGAACAATAAGCAGAAAATCTGGCATCAAATGATTACAGTGAGATATCACACACTATCATCCAAAATTAAAGCCTCAATCTAGTGCTAAGTTACCTTCATTCATTCCACGTTCATGAATTTCATCAACAATCACATGAGTTACACCTTTCAAATTTCTATCAACCAGTAATCTTCTCAACAAAATGCCAGTGGTGCAAAAGAGAAGGCGAGTGTCCCTCCCTTTCATACCCTCTAACCGAACCTTATACCCAACCTAAGAACAAAGAAATGCAAGGAAAAGGTCTTTTTTAAATAACCTTAGAAGGTAATAATTTGATCAAATATCCCAAGCAAATTGAGGAAAACTCACTGATTCACCCAATTTCTCCCCTCTCTCTGAAGCAACTCTTTCAGAAACAGACATAGCAGATATTCGTCTAGGCTGTGTACATATAATACTACAAACAGCTCCACGAACAGCTTCTATCTCAGATTCTAGAATGAATTGTGGAATTTGAGTGGTCTTGCCACAGCCAGTTTCACCTGATATGATAACAACCTACACATACAAAATTATGCTCATCAAACGCTATCATCTCATGCTTTCAACACTACGTGCCAAAATAATTATTGTCGAGTGGCACGCTAGCATATTTGAATTAAAAATAATTGCATGATTAGCATGTATCAACATCTACTACCTTAACTTTGAAAACGACAATGTGGAAAACAAAACAAAAATGATTATGCCACTCATGAGAAAAAGAGCTGACCATCAACACACACCAAACCAAATTGTAAAACCAGGACCAAAGTCAGATATAACATCTTGCAAACTTGAGGAATTGAATTTTCATGATAAATAATGACTAACCTGATTTCGTGAAATTGCAGTCAACAATGCATCCTTCTCTTTATAGGCAGGGAGACTTCTCCGAAGTTCCAGCATTTTTCTACCCTCAGGAGATTCCTGTAAAAAATTAGAAAAATATTACATATATGTAGAATAAAGAACATGATTCATCTTATAAGTGATAACTGAATGCCAATCATGCTGAGGAATCTGCCAAGGTAAGACAAACCTGCCAAGCTTGTTGCTTATCACGCAGCTGCAAGCTTCTCCGCCAAAGAATTTTTTCCATTACAACCTTACTAGACGCCAATGATTCCGGTTGCTCAAAAAGCCCTTCATCAGTAGCAATGCTGCCACTACTGTTTGATCTAGAAAAGGAAGCATCTGGAAGCCCTTCCTTCCTCCTAGACTTCTGAGAAAGGAATTCTCCAAGATAGCCCTCAACTCTCCTCAGCAACCCAAGAGGCAAGGTCACCTTTCAATTTATTAAAAAATATATATACATATCACTTAAGAACTGTCTAGTATGAATTAAAAAGAACTCAGGCATTTGAAAAAAAATCATCAGGTCTAAGAAACAGCAAGTGAGATGGTGAAGCACATGGAGGCAAGAAATGAGTGTTGTCAACAAAAGCACTGTTAGCTCTAGAACTCAAAGTGAAACAAAGGCAGTATGTCTTGCATGAATTAAGATTATGTTAAACAGAAACAATAAGGAATTACCTCTCTCTGAGGGCGCCTGTCATCGAGGTCAAATCTGTAGTTTGGCAGTGGGACCTTGCTAAAGACAGCAACTTTTGCATATAGATGGCTGTCAAAAATTCTCACAATCAGACTTTTGTGAAGTTATGGAAACACTTACATGCTCACAAAAACAAAAGATACCTATAAAGCCCCATTCTGCTTGCCAAAGCAGCTATTTTCTCAAAATCACGTCTATCTTTTTTCTCCCTTGAAACGAACTCTTGCTTCTCCTTGTCACGTAACAGCATTGTTAGTCTCCGTTTCCAATCATCAATGTTATCAGACGGGGAAGCACCCTGAGTCTGCATTATTAAGAAAAACAAATACCATTAACATTTACATATGCAAGACTCACAAAATGGATAGGAATGAATTCACGGCAACACAGAAGAAAGTAAATGAAGATTCTCTACTAAGCTAGCAAAGAGAAGTTATACACCACATAAGTCAAACACCTAAAAAAAGGTCCCAGGTAAGGCGGTTAATTCCTCAACGATTATAAAACCCACTTCGAACAATTATAAGCAACTCATATCAAAAATCGACATAGCATTTCACATAAGACTTGGTAAACTGAGCCCGACTCAATTAACAAACAAGTTAAGAGCTTAAAGTGAAACGACCAACTTGCACTTCAAACTTTAGAAGCTGAGCCCTAACTGAAACCTAATCAGCATTTCAAACTGAGTAACACACCACGAATTCCCCGATTAAAAACCCTACGCATGCACATATACATATAAAACCTCACCGGACGCGATGGCAACTCAACTTCGCGATCGGACCCTTCCTCAGAAACGCCGTCGTCGTAAGCAGAATTGTGCTGCAACTTGGGCTTCTGCAGCTGCTCCTGCTGCTGAGTCTGGTAGTAAGTCAGAGTACCATTGGTGCTCCTACGGTTCAGAGCAGCACTCTGGTTCTCGCGGAGCTTGGAGCCAATTGAAGCAGCAGAGGTGTAATTAGGGCTAGTGATGACTGACCGGAGGCGATGGTGCGGAGGAACGTAAACGGCGCCGTACGAAGACGGAGGCCGGTCCTTCATCGCGAGGAGTGAGGGAGAGGGTGAAGGTGAGGGTTTGAAGGCAATGGGTTTGGGATGTGAAGGTGCGGCGGCGAATTGGAGAGAAGGAGATGGAAGAAAGAGAAAAGCTAGAGATGATGAGGGCATGCAAAGTGAGAGCAGAATGGCGTCGTCTGGAGATCAGAGGAATATGAGCCTTGTGTTTGTTTCCCGGAAGAAATGGTGAACTCCGGAAGAGAAGACAAAAGAAGAGCTTGTTTAGTATTTTACTTTGAGTGCGCACGTCAGCGCTTCCGTTTGGGCTACGAACTGGATCTTATGCTCTGGGCCTCTGGCATATACGAACTGAACTGATGCCATTGCTTTTCCAGCTTTCCGACATTTTTAAATAATTTTAGATTGAGCGAATTTGAATTTTATTTTGGTGAAGTGGGAGAAATTTTTATTTTAGATTTGGTAAAAAGTACCTATATATCTCCACTCCCCCTAAAAACCAAAATACTGTAAGTTCTATATTATATTTTCTTTTCATTTCTTTTCGAAGTTCAAACAAATGTAAAAAAGAAAAAGTATGTCGAGAGAGAGAAAGGCGCTTAAGAAATGGATATGGTTGTGGAACTATCTCAAAGTAACCATACTAGAATGAGATTTGACCAAAAATGAAAAGAAAAAAGAGAGGAGAGAATTATGAGATCACTTCAAATAAGTTACGGCCTTGAAAACTGAAATCTAGCAACGAACATAACATCCATAAATACAAAACAAAGGAAGTAGGAAGCATGTCTCGAAAAAAAAAACAAACGGTAAAGCAAGAAACAATCTCAAGAATCACAAGGTGCTTCAAGAAAATTAACTTTGATAAATAGGAATAGGGTTATCTACTGTAGGAGTCCTTCTGTGGTGCATCAGTTGTACCGGTACAGCCACTCACGTGACTTTTTTTAAAAAAAACAAGGGAAACCTGTTGACCCGGTCAACAGGTAAATGATTTCACAAGCTGCTCCTAACGTCAACAGATAAACGATTTCACATGCACACTCAGTCGACGTTCTTCTTCCGCAAAGTGATCTGGCTCAACTTCAAACTGATAATCTTCATGGTCTTCAAAGTCATCTTCTTCGACTCCTTTTCTGTAGAAAGTTTCTTCCTCCTCTCTGCAACCTCTCTCTCTTCTTTGTCATCATTGTAAAAAAAATCCCTATTCTAGGGTTTGGATTTTGGGGAAAATTTTAGGGTTAGCATTTTTGATAATAGGAATTGGAATTCAGTTTTTCCAGTCACTGGTAGGTTGTTGGCGCTCCTCTCGTCTGCAATCGAGCTCTTGTAAAAGCATTTGGTATTAGTTCCTTGTGAAGGTAAGTTAACACTATGTTTTATGTTATTATTAATTGAAATTCTTTGGTGATGAATTGGGGCAAGAGGGGAAGTAGGTTTCTCACATTCATGAGATGAAGTGGGTTTCTCATTCTGAAAGTGTTGTGAGGTGAAGTGGGTATCTCACATTCATGGTTGTAATGTTCATGCAATTGCATATCTCTATATGCAATTACCAATCGCCTGTATGCAAATCCAAGTCACTGAATGCAATTACAGTATATAGTTTTGTTTTGAAATTATGCAAGTGAGGAGATTTCGTGGTAGGTAGGTAGGTTTGACTGTGTTTTTGAATTTTTTTTTTATGGGGAGTAAAGTGTTCCGATAGTGTAATGTTAGGATTGGTTAAGATTTGGATTGAGATTTGAAATGAGTAAGAATCTCGGCCCAATAGAAAAATGCATAGGTGGGTTGTGTGCATTATCTGTGCAATGTTATAATCGAAGGCTGATGCACTTGCAAGTAGTGTCGTGCGATTGCATATCAGTATATGCAATTACTAAGCGACTGTGTGCAAATCCAGGTCCCTGTATTTTTTTAATTAAGCAATGTGATGTTGTGGTGTTTACGGGGGTTTAGGGTGTATTAGGGTTTGGATTAGTATTCAAATTCTCGGCGTTAGAGACAATTGCATGATTGTGTTTTGTACTTGATTTGTGCAAGTTATGGAAGCTCAAAAAAAGGGATCAGCGAAGGAAAGTGCAAAGCTGAGAGTAATGTGCAACAATCAAGAGTTGGCCGAGATGCATTTTTTAATTTCATGTAAGTTATACGTACATCTAAAAATTGGAAATGTGGTTGCTTATTATTATGATGGTTTTTTGATTAAAAATAAATAATTTACAGGAAAAAAGAACGACAAGAAATGGGGAAAGTGACCAATGCAAAGTTGGACAGTAAGGTGAGAGATGACGATGAATTGGGTTAGTTTATTAATTATTTTATTAAAAAGGCTCTATTAATGAGAATTTTTTATTTCAGATGTAAGAAGAGATTGCTAATAAGTGGAGGAAATTGAACCCTAAAGAGAATGCAACATATGGTTCTGCCTTAGAAGGTTCGAGTGGGCAAGTAGAAAGTTCGAGTAGGCAAGTAAACGACGCAGTGAATGAGATGGGTTTTACCAGTAGATGCAGCCCGGACCCATTCCATCGTACGGTGGAAAAATTGTCGAATGAGAAGCGGTTAGCAATTAATGCTATTGGGTTCGGTAATGTTTCATCTTTGTCCTGCACTCATTTACACTGCGAACTATGCCAATTTTTGATTCAAAGGTTCAATCATGATACGTCTTATATAGAACTACACGACAATGTGTTTGGGCGTGTTATGGGTCTTAAGAACACCGGCGAGGATGTTGAACTTCACTCGCCGGTAGAAGATGAAAAAGTGAAACAAATAGTGAAGAGTTTCGGTGGAAATGGCAAAAGAGTATTAATAAGGGGTTTAGCTGAACAATTGGAAATGTGCGAAAATGTGGATGAGGACTTTAAAGTTCGACTTGTGATGTTTGCACTTGGCACTGTAGTTTGCTCGACATCTTCACCATCGGTGACCGGGAACTATTTAACTTTCTTGACGATCCCAGGGAAGATAGAGACCAAGAACTGGGCTGACCATAGATTCAACTTCTTATGTGAAGGTGTTAGGTCGTTCAAAGCGAAGAAATTTGCATATGTAAATGGGTCACTGCTTTTTCTGCAACTATTCTATTTCGATTCAATTATCCATGGTGGAGTATATGTTGATAAGTTTTTGGATCCCATTATGTCCTGGGACAATAAGTCGGTGTGGAAAATGATAAATGGGTTAGAAAGCAAGGTGGGTTTGATAGTCCTACCATTCTGGTTGTTTCAAAGCACCGTCCAACGAATGAAGTGTCCGGAGTAAACCTTAAAAGAATTGTTCAAGAAGTTTCTATCAGTTTGGCACCAGTCATACAGGCCGAGGTGAAGCGATCAGTTGAAAGACTTGCTTTGGGGCCGATAATACAGGCAGAGGTCCAGCGCTCAATGTTGGAACTCATTAACAAGGTAATGAGTCAAGTGAGCTCCTTCATGAAAGACGCAAGACAACATCTTCATCCGGGACATGAAGATGTAAATCAAGCTAAAGAGGACGGGCCATTGAAAATACAAGATGAAGGTGGTGAGAATGTTGTGAAGAAGAAGGGTGAAGAATCTAGCAAATTAAAGGAGAAATGTGCAGTTGATGTAAACGATCCTTGGACGCCATTATCGGATGGACAGACTTTCAGTGAACCCGAGGTATGATGAGCGATTAAGAGTTTCAAGATCGGGTTTCTTGTTATCTTTTAGATTTATTAAGTATGCATTTATTTACATAGTTGTAAAATACTGATTTTTTTTTCCTAAATGTAATATTTGGATTCCCTTTTCCACAGTTGAAAATTGGTGTGGAAAAGAGGAAGTTCACAAAATTGGCCCGTGGTGATCAAAGTGGAATTCAAACACGTCGAACAGCCGAAAGATGTCCAAGGCTTCATTGTATGTCGACCACAGAACCTCAAGTATAGAAAATTCCACCGAGGACAATGCTTTCCGATTATAATCTCACTGATGAGTTAGAAGTCGAGGAAGCACTTAATGGGTACTCAGCTTCGGAATGGCTTGCAAATTCATCCGACTATACTCAGTACATAGATGAGTACATACGGTACCGCCACTATGAGGACTTACATGAAACGGTACGTTCTACACTGAACACGTGTTATGTAATTACACTTGCTGCATGAAATTCATATAATTTTTCAAAATTCTAAAATGATACCCGAATTCCACAAGAAGAACAACATCGAACTTCCGAAAGGGCCAATATAAGGGTAGCAAACATTTTTCCTCAGCCATGGTCAGTGCGAATACCATGCTGGGCTGCCAAAAATAGAAGTAAACTTGTGCGGATACCCCGTGGGCAAGATAGCCCTGAGCTACCATTACCTGATGGTGTCACGCATGTAAGTAGCTTCCATTGCATAATTTATTAATACATGAGGGCTTCTTGTGGTGATTGTTGTAATTACATGTGCCTTAATATAGGTAACTGCTGAAGCTGCAACCGAGTTTTTGGAGCTGAATGCTGGGTTGAATGTTGTACTATTTTCAACTGCATTGAAAGCAAGCATAGAGATCAGGCACCTATAGCAAGAGAATGTGAGTCAGTTCAGCTTCATTTCATACTGATTTCATAAAATTAACAAACATCACGGATGTTATATTGAAATAACAAACCATGATATTGAACATGAACGATGTTATATTGTAGTAGGAGATATTGAAGAACACATCGAGAACAACTATTGCAAGTTCGGGTATTGGTCAACACGTCTTAGATGATGATACAGAACATGTAAGTTTGTTACTTCCAACCTCTATTGTAAAATTCGATTTATAAGATGTTCAATTTGCAATTTTAAATAATATGTTACATTCTGCAATGCAAACCATCATCACTCGTGTGCACAACAAAACTGAAAAAATTGATTATTTATATATGTCAATGTTTCCCTTTATGTAGGAGTTTTGCACAAAATTTAAACATGACATAGGTAGAAAAGGAAAGACCAAAATTGTGATACAAGAAGAGCATGAAGAAGATGAGGAAGAGGAAGAGGAAGAGGAAGAAGAGGAAGAAGAAGAAGATGAAGAGGAGAATGAAGACGAAGCTTGGATTGAAGACGGGGATGAGGATGAGGATGAGGATGCCGATGAGGACGGGGTCACAGCTAAGGGTAATCCGGATGCAGAACAACACTCCACAAACCAAAGACGCAAAGGTGAGAAAAGTCTTCGTTCACGTACCCCAAAGAGAAAGAAAACCAAGTAAATTATGGATACAATTACATTTTTCGAATCATGGTATCTTTGTTTTGTAAAATAATATGTTCAGTTTATTGGCCCTTACCGTTTCTCATGTAGTATATT